CAGTTTCCAATTTGCTCCTTTCCAAAACTACTTCAGCTTCAATTTCTACTAATTTTAAAAATAGAATTACAAGTTACTGTTTAAAACAGGCTTTATTCAGTGCAGACATCTTGAGATTTTTCTCACTGGTAAGCTGTGAGTGCAGAAAGGGTCAGAGGAAGAACTTGCCTGGAAATACTGTTAAGCCACCATTGGTGTGAGTATTTCCATTTATTGGTGCTTTGTCACTGATCTGCTTGGGAATTTGTTGTGCAGGGCTACTCAGATCCATTTCACTTTCAAGATACAATGAGGAGAGAAATATAAAGATATGCAACTGCAATATTTTGTATGTTTGTGTGTTTGTAGGGCTGTGTTCATTTGCCTGATTTTGGTTTTCATGTCTGCACTTCAGTAATTGCTGATACTGATGGCAAATAATATTTCTTTTTATTAGCTGTAAAGTGCAAACTAAAGGCACCAAACTGGAGCATTCCTTTTCATTGTAAACCAAAAAGGAAAGTTTGGTACTTGTTGTGCTGTGTTTAAATGGGCCTGAGATGCTTCTATGCAACATGAGTGTTGCAGTTTTGATAGCAGGCAGCAGAATCAAAGCTCCTGCTCCAGTTGTGAGCAGGATTCCACTTGGATCATGGCTAATTTCAGTTTTTCCAGGCAGAAAGGGCAGCTGGCACTGGGTAAACTGAATTTAAAACTACACTTCAGCTTCTAACACACTCCCATGGAAATATTCCCTCATTTTATGTTTTCTTATAGCAAGAGTCTGAGCTTGAATGGAGCTCCCAAATGTAACTATAGTGATAACCTTCATCTGGGAGTGAAGGGTTTAACTTATATAGTGTTTCACAGTAAGTCAACTGAGTCTCAAAAGTCCTTAGGTGGTGGGGTCCACATTTCTCACTCTAAAGAGCTTGGTTTTGCTGACTGACAAGTTGGTGACTTCTTTGTAGAATCATAGAAATGTTAAGGTTGGGAAAGACCTCTAAGATCATCAACCCAACACTCCCATGACCACTAAACCATGCCCTGAAGTGCCATGTCTACATATTTTTTGAATATCTTTCTTCTGCCTTTGTGACTAGCCATATTCTAGCAGGTCTCACAGCTCCTTTGGGGTGAGATTCTGCTTTGAGAAGATAAATCCTGCCATCTACTCACTTGGTTTAAGCACAAGGGATTGGTGCTTCAGGCAGAAATCTCAGATAAACTTAGCAGCTCTGGGTCTGAGAATTGGCTGTCCACCTATTTGGATTCTGTCCAACTGGCTACACAAATTTATGACCAATTCTTTGCCATTTATTAGGTTAGTAGGTTCTTCATATGTACAGAGTAAAATAAGTGTTCCTTGGAAAGAGGTCATGTTACTGTAGCCTGAAACTCAGGTCCCTCATCTTCAGAAGAAAAGCTTTATCCCTTTTTCCACTGATTTTATCTATTTTATGCAAATATTTCTTACATACTGAA